CTTTCATTCTTGATTATGACATTGGTTTGCTCTTTACTGTCAGAATATCATTTTAAAATGTTAGCAAGTGTCATAGGAGTTTAATCAAATTTCATCAGAAGGTCTTTACTCAATGTATAAATGTATACTGATTTCAATGCATATTGTACATATTGCCTATGAAAGTACTTGGTCTGCAATGCTAGCGTTACCACAAGATCACCAACTCTCTGTATCTCAATTCACCATGTTAAAATGGGCATTGAATAATTTTTCTTTTTGTAAATAGATGCATAGTATCATTATCTCAAAGGGGATCATTATCTTAGTGAATTCAATCTTTGGTCTTACTTCAGCGACCAGCTCACAAAGCAAGCACTAAAACCCACTCACCAGGTCTTCTCCAAATTCAAATAGGTTAGAAAACCAATTTGGAAAAATTAGAGAAAACTCTTCCATTCTTTTTTGCCATTTTAAATGTCTTGGAATACACATCAATTGCTCCCTAATTCATCTTTCCTGATATAGCTGAATAGCCTCCCTTACTTTTTCATGCACAAAATTGAGGGAGATGAAATTGAGGATCCTGTTCCAAAATGACTCTCCCTCTTCTAATATGCGCCTCCTTAATTCTCTCTGAGAATATACCCATTATCTTTCAAAATTATTCTAACATTTGTATTATTTATTTATTTTCATTAAGTAGCATTGTCTTTCATCCTTGTTTATATTTTAACAGTATAGGGATTTCTCATGTCAAGTGTGGTCACTGTAGCTCTCCCACTACCAAATTATTTGTTTGGTGTTAACCAGCAGCCCAGTTTAACTGTCAGTGACTCTAATGCATTCTTAGTTTCTAAGTATATAACAAGTCTTATTGATAGCATGCCTGGTGTCCCCTTCCAGTGTTCATGTCTCTATTTGTCCATTTTTGTTTCCCTATATCTTCCTCCTTCATCCCACCTCACTACCTAAGATCTGAATGGGAGGAAGGAATGTAATCATCTCAGGGTTAAATGCTTACATTTCAGGAATGTAATTACTGGAGTGTTTCATTCCAGACAAGCTGGGTTGATGGAAATTGGGGAGATCAAAAAACATTCCAGTTCCTTTGGTGTTCCAATCTAAATTCTGCATCTACCTGAAGGATTTTTCCACTCACAAATGAACTCTTTTTAATTTTCAATTTTCCCTTTATATGTTTTTCTCCTTTCTTCCATTTATTTGTTTTATTTTTTCTTCTCCCATTAATTAGTAAACTCCTGAAAATCTTATTTACCTTTTCACTTTGCCAGTAAACTCTTACCAGTTCACTTTATAAAATAAATTTTAATAATTATTTGTTGAATGATCACTGATCATATGAGCACAGTTTTATTATAACCACTTTCCTAAAATAGTTGTCAAGTGACCAACTATTTGATGGCATCCTCATCATCTTAAATATTTCCTCCATATGTTATTATTGATCACCTTCTTGCCTTTAATATTCATGTTTGTGCATATATACAATCTTATTAGATGATGATTCTTATCTTTTTAAATTTTTTTCAATGTTTCTCTGTTCTTTTTCCAGAAACCTGTTAGCTATAGATTTCTTCAAATAGCTCATTTTTGAGATATTACTCTTTCTCAGTTGATACTTAAAAGTGTTTCTCTACTTAAGTAGTTTCAATTAATACTTAGAGTAATGCTCTAATTTAAGGTCTTTGTGACTACCTCAACTAGTGTGCAGAGAACTGAATGAAAATAGACTTACAGTTGCTTCTCCTCATTTAAGATGTGAATGTAGAAAACTTACTGTTCAGTTTGCTTTGACTGATGAGATTTCAGTTGTACAAACTTCTTCATCTTTAGGAGCTCCCATTTATAAAAATGTTACCTTCACTTTTAAGAAATTCCTCTGAATCTCATCTTCCTTATAGTTCCCATTTGTCATATTTATGGATACCATAATAATAATTTATTATTTCTTTTGATAGATGGATCTGTTGTTGTGGGGTAGATACAGGTGTTCTAGGACCATGGGATTGGTGTGTGGGGTCAGGGTTGGGAGAATGTCTTCTTAGAGCTAAAGTAGCTCCACATAACCATAGCCTTGAAATAGCAAGAGTACAAGAGTTCTTAAGTTGCAATTTGCCACTAAGATATCAAATTTTACCCAATGAAGCTAAAAAAGTCCCCCCTATAGACATTCTTTAACATTGGATATTATTGTCAACTTCTACTATGAAATTTTATTGTCTTGATAATCTTGATTCAATTTCTGTGGAAAGTAGATTTACATTTCTTTAAATTATATTTTTTTAATCAAGTTAACATTGGTTTGCAACATTATAAATGACTTAGGGGTGTAGGGTTACATATGTCTGCTATTACAACCTATCCACCAACAAAGCACCAAGAATATCTAATCAATATAGTGTCGTGATAAATAAAATGAACTTTAAGTCAGACAGAATTGGTAATCTAAAGGAAGTCAACTTCTTTAAATTACATATTTCTCAGTTGTAAACTGGAGTTTTAAAAAAGAAGTTATCTCACAGGCCCTCAGTGAATACGATTAGTCTATGAACTACTTTGTTTAAATAGGTGACATGGAAGAGAATCCAGTTCATAATCATGAACTCATCTTTATGAAGGAAACAAGAAAAATCTAGTCTCTTCAGATCTCCCTCTCACAAAATATAATTTATAGATAAGCTTCATTTAGCAAATTGGATTTACTTATTAGAATATGCCCCCTTCATCCAGGATGTTTACCTTAGCTTCCAATATGTTAAATCATTCAGTACTAAGAATTTTACTACTGCACTATGTGTTTTTAAACATGTTCCCCAAAACAATTTGAAGTATAAGATAATCTACAAGCAAAAAATTATTTTATTTATAACCAAGAAAAATCTCTTCTACAACATTCCCATCCTTTCCCTCTGCAAAAACATAATCTCCAAGCTACCAGGTCATATTTTACTTAAGACTAATATGAATTCACAAATTTTAAAAACATGTATACATTACATAAAGTTATTCTTAAGAACATTTATCATGATTTTCTTCCTTTATTGATGTTAAATTGCCACAAAATGTCAGATTGTTTAGCCTTGCCCACAGTTTCATATGGAAATAATTTCCAATATGAATATAGTTCTGCTATGAATCTCGTTAAAGCAAATTTAGTTAGAAAACATAAATTGATGCATCCATTAGGTAATGCAAAACAAACACCAATGACTGTATGTCACTTCCTAAACCCTCCCACTGTTCTTGCCACAGTTGTTAAAATTTTAATATGATGCTCCATGTACTTGTGAACATACGCAACGAATGAAAGTTTCCTAATATCTTACTGAGTATCTCAGATACCATCACCCCCCCCTTATTGGTTGTCGGAGTTCATAAAAAAATTATATTTTAATATTATTTTAAAATTAGTAGAATGTTTATTTAAATACATATTGAATCATTATAGAAAAATAATATTGGCAGAATTTTTCTTCAAAAAGTGATGCTAATCTTTAATATTCAATAGCCTAAATTGCCTAAAATGCCCATAAACTAATTCCAGATAAAATGCTTCAGGATTTAGCCAGCTGAATTATCTGTAGTTTTCAAAGTTATTTTTTCTTCCTAAATTAACCAATTAAACAAGAAGAGAAGCTCATTTCGTTCACTTCTACAAAAAACTATGTGTGTTATCATAATGCTTAATAAAGATTATTGTGATAAACCATTCATATACAGCACAGGTAACTATTTTCAAAATTATTATCTTAAGGTAAACTGCTGTATTAAAATATGCATACATTGTGCCTCAGCCTTTTGGCTAAGATCAAATGTAAAATATGCATACAGAAAAGTTCACAAGTCGTGCGTGCACTGTTTGTTGAAGATTTGTAAAGAATCCCCTACATGTAACCAGTACTCACATCAATAAACAATATAAAATAGCTATATATTGTGACATGTATTATTTTGTGACATGTATTATTCTATTATGAAATAAGGTTTGATACAAAATTTTGGTGTTCATTTTTCCTTTTAGAAAAATGCACTAAAATCAGCATAAGCAAGTTTCTAGAAACCAAGAGTTTTCAGTTATATAGTATATGTAAATATTTTAATATTGTTTTTACCATTAATTTTTATCAAGTTCAGTTCCTTGAAAATAACCTAATTAGAACAATTTAGTAAGGTCTAGCTATACTGACTATTGAGGACAAATGTACATTGTCTTGATAAAACTTCTACTGTGTTTGGTTTTATATTAAATTTCCAAACTGTATAGAATGCCTCATAGAAGTAGTTCTTCACTTTCTGTATAGATTCAGTATTATACATGTGATTTCTAAACATTCTATCCACTGTACTTCAGCGCAGTGAGATGTTTCCATGTCACATAGTCAGAGGGAGGTAGATTAATAGGGAGTTCTAGCTGGAAATTTCTTCCCTGTTATTGTTCTCCCTCAGCAGTTGATGGCTAAGTTAATTCTCTTTAGTTTTGTCATGCTCTAAAGCACACATTGCCAAGCAATGGTAAGCTTTATGAAGAAAAAAAAGAGAGAGAGAGAAGCAATGGTGTCCATCAAAGTCTTAAAGTTGCATTTTTAAACTTTGGCTTGACCTGATGTGCCATTCAAAAAAGCTTCAAAAGATTATTTTTTTAAAGAAAGGTTCAATATGTCCTGAGGCTATCGGTTTTGAGTTAAACTGGGTGAAGTAGAAATATTTTACTCATCAGCTTTGCAGTCACAGAGTTTGCCTCAGCTAGAACAAAACTGCTGAGGCATTTAGAGAAAATTAACCCCCCATCCTGGCGGCCAGATGTGACTGGTTTCTGATGAATGCACATGAGTGAGCTGAAAAATCAAGAGACTGTGAAATTCCTGTCAGGTCCGTACAGTGCAGAATGGGCTATTGACTGCTTTCTATATTTCCCTCCATCATTCTTCTTGAACACTGCCATTAATTTCCTCTCCTACTCTGACTTGTGTTTTTTTCCCCCTCCCTCTTCCCTTTAGCTCTGTCAGCTGCAAAAAAGGATACACAAGGTGTGGGAGAAGCACTTCAAATTGGTGGTCCTCTACAGCCAGATGAGGCTGGCCAAGTTCCAGAGAGACTCTCAAGAGAGTATTCAGAAAATATTAGTTGTGCAGGTAGGTGATTGCAGGGAAGTAGGAAAGATCATTCTGATCTAGATTGAAAAGCAAATGATGGGTAGTGTGATGGAGCATTAAAACCATATCCCATCAGAGTTTTATAAATTTTTAACCTCTTTAATAAACTGGAATTGCATGAAGGATGAATCCAGTAAGTTAGCATATATGCTATGCATACTTGGGGAGAAAAGAGAGCTTGGACTTATTTCTCACAACCCTCAAAATGGATTTTTATAAATACATTGGGTATAAATATATATTTTCAAATCTTGCAGATATCATTCAGCTATTGAACAGGTATTGTCAGTGGTTGTCTTGGGTTGGTTTTGTGTGAAATCTACTTTGGTGAAAATGACTCTCTTGTTTGTTTTATTTAGTTCTTTTCGATCCCATCCACTTTGCAAAAAAGCCTTGTTCTCCTAAGCAGATTTAGAAAAGGCTTTATGTGAAAAATAAGCAACTTGGGACTAGACTGTAACTGTGGTTCCAGGTGGCTGTGAAATTGTATTTGTCTTTGTAAAAAATGTCAGATCAGCTGTCTTTAAGACTGATTTATTAAGAAATCCATAAATTATATGAAGGTTATCATATGAAGATGACAATTTTTTTTTTCAAATTAATGTTTTACTATTTGAAAAGTTACAATATGTTAAAAAAGACCTCGCCAAGGAAAACACCTATCTTTGTTTTATTAAAAAACAAAAAGTATCTGTTCAATAAAAAGACACATGATAAAAAACAACCATAATTTTAATTAATTTACAACATAAACAATACATGCTGGAACTAAACAAACCAAATCTTTTTCTGAACATTTTATTTACATGTGTACTTCATGGTCCTTTTGCCACAATTAAAAAGAATTCACAAGGCATACCAAAGCTATTTCAAATTTCATTTTTCTTTTTTTGCTCTTTTTTTTTTATAAAAGATTTATTTGTTTATTTATTTATACAAGCACTGGGTACAGTCAGAAGCGCGGGAGGGTGAGAGAATTCACCAGAGCCAGAGCGGGGAGCAGAGCAGGTAGAAGGACCGAAGCACACTGCTGAGGGGAGCAGCGGGCGGCAGGAGAGGTCTGTGCGCCATGAGGGACCCTCCTCTGGTGGCCGGGGAGCAGCCGGAGATCGAGCCGGTGCTGCAGAGGCTGCGGGCAGCTTGGCAACCCAGCGCTCAACCGCTGCGCCACCGGGGAGGCCCTTTGCTATTTTCCTTTAAACTATTTATTTTTATTATTTTCTTGAGAGATATATGTATGTATATATATATATATATACTTTATATATATGTATATGTACTTTATATGTGGAGTCTGATGATAATGAATTACAACAAATTAAAATTAAAGGGAAATTTAAAGTTTTGCAAAGGTTTTTAAAATGTGTAGGTTTAATAGAAATTCACATGTAAGCTTTAGGATAAACTATCATTTGAGTATTTTAGAATTCTGAAACTTTTTTTTTCTTACAATGTCCTTAATAAATACTACCTTGAAAATTATGAGATAGCTATTATCTGTGATTCTCTTTTAAATATCCAAAGGCAATCTGCATGTACTAATTATTATCTTGGAAAAATCCATTCTCAAATGTGAAAACTCTTAAAAGTCTTACAAATAATAAATTCTCAATGAAAATTATGGTGTATTTTGAAATAATGAAAATCAGTAGAAATTATTTGAATTATCAGTAAAGTTAATTCTCAATCTATAATTTTCAATAATCCTTATTCTAATTTTTTATTCAAAATTCATGAATACATCCTTTATTACTGATTTTTAAGTTACTTATTATTATGGGTGTTGCATAACAGGGCAATTAGGCTTAGGAAAACATTGATAAGAAAACTCTACTAAGGGCCTCCCCTGGTGGTGCAGGTGGCAGAGTGCAGTGCTGTGAAGCTGTCTGCAGCCTCTGCAGCGCTGGTTCAATCCCCACCGGCCTCGGAGCAACCCACATGGCAAGCAGACCTCTCCTGTCTCGCCCGCTGCTCCCCTCAGCAGTGTCTTCATCCGTCTGCCTGTTCTGTTCCCCACTCTGTCTCTGGTGAATCTTCTCACCCTCCCGCGCATCTGGCCTATACCCCAGTTCTTGTATAAATCTTAAAAAAAAAAAAAGTATTTAAAAAAAAGAAGGAAAACTCAACTACTCAGCGGATGATATTTGGGTAATTTGGATTATAGAGTATATTTGGGTAATTTAAGAAGCGTAAGTCCAAACATTCAGCCTGGTGCAAAATGACCTCCAAGAATGAATTCCTACTAAACTTCCCAGTATTATCTTTCTTCACATCAGCTCCATCATTATGTTTCAGCCACTTCAAAATTCCTACTAACCATAAAAACTTCTGTTTTATTCCTTTATCCTCTCCAGTGCTTAATACTCTTCTTTCCACAATACTCTTCCTTCTCTTACCTGTTAAAGAATATCTAACTCTGTTCAACTAACTCCTCTACAGAATGTTTGCTGAGCCCATCACTCCACCTACCTCTGCCAGAAAAATTGACTTCTACATATGGCAAATGCCCTCCTTCCTAGAAAATTCTAAGCATTTCCAGAAATTTTTATCAATGAAACCAGTCCAATTCTTCTTTAAGTTCTTAGGGCATATAGGAACAAGGCCACTAAGAAGATCTAGGAGTACCGTACTGTCTTGTTTTCACTTCTTATGTTCAATTTTTAAATAGGAAAATCATGGCAGAGTTATTTAATATGTTTGCAGAGTGACTCTGCTGATGCCAGTCTCTACAGTTTGACTCAACATGACTGAAAATTAGCAGCCCAGATACTCTCTATTTTCTCTGTTTTCATTTAGTATCAATCATGTCAATGTTGGGAGTTTAAATTATGTTTGATATTTTGATATAAACTTTAATATTTTTGATATATTATTCCATATATGGATGATGCCATATTAGTGAACTATTAGATATGAAATAATACTATGAAATTTTTGAGTAGTAAATTGTTCACAACTGATATTGAGTAAGAGCAATTCAAAATAAATGTTGAGCAGAAAAAGGAATCTTTGTTTCATGTTTGGACTTTGAAGCAATTCCTTACAGAATCACATTTTAAAAAATACAAAAATTGATTGGCAGATCTGCAGATGGTAGAAGCCTGTTGGGCAAATAGCTTTTGAATTAAAAGATCAAGCAGAAATCAATAAGATGAACTATAAATGGAATGGAGAATTGGCATATTTTATGTTGATGCTATTTATATGAAAAAAAAAAAAACAAGGATTTTTAGTTGACCACAATTAATTTTAATATCAGCCAAAGTGAACTACTGCAAACTTAGGAACAAAAGCATGTGCCAGCTCTAGCAAGCACGTAAGACTTCCATTCTGACAGTATATGGCATAGCTTAATTTCATGTCTTAGCCCATATAAAATACTATCATTCTTTCATTTCTCGCATCACTATTTTTCTTTTTCTTTTTAATTTATTTAATGTCATGATATGTAATACCTATTTAGCATTGTAGGGTAAGGAAAAATGTCAGGCTTTTCTGCCCTCCCACTATCAGGATAGATGATGGATCCTTGCGGTCCTAAATGCATGCCTGATGGCGGGAATAGGGTGTGGGCATAGGTAGATGGGATTCGCCTGGGCTGAGACTGGACTTTTAAGGGCAGCATCACGGGGATGCCAGTAGAAGCCAAAAGAGAAGCTGAGAAAGAAGTAGCAGAAGCCGAGAGAGAAGCAGAGAAAGCCGGAGAGCCTTGCTGGGGGCTGGAAGAACTGCCAGCCTCCTGGCCCCCCAGCGCCCCTGCCTGCTGTGTACCTGGTAAATCCAAAAAAAAGACCTACAAAAGCCACTGAGGACTCTAACTCCTCCTTTACCCGGTCTGCATGGGATCAGAAAACCTGCTCAGAGGTCATTCCTGACCGTACATTTGGCGTAAGTCGGCAGGATGATCCACGCAGACGGGTATTGGAGCTCTCCGAAGACCTGGAGGGACTAAGGAATAACAGACTGTTTGCCTGTGACAATGGGGGAGGTGTCATGGTGGCACAGGAGATGGACGAGGTCTGGGAGCTACAGGACAAGACCGTGCATGAAGGAAACACCCGTGAGGACCAGCCAACAACCCCTGAGGCAGCAAGAATCATCGGCGAAGAGAGAACCATGATTCGGAGCTCACCAGTGCTGATGGAAGGGGAGGCCTAATGGACTTGGACTGATGAACTTGGAGTGACAATCCCTCCAGAAGGCGGAGGAACTTTGGCAAGTTAATGTTGTTTTGGGACCCTGGGGGAGAATTGTTTGTACACCCCAGGCAATAGGAATCTGGGGCTGGCCAGTGGGCCTTGATGGCCAAAAGCAGCCTGTGTATGCCCAGCAGCCAGGTGGAGGAGAAAAGCCAACTGAGAAGGCAAAAGCTGGTGCTGATGCTAAGTTGAGAAGCCCTGAGTGTCTGTTAAGCAGCCTGAGTATGCTGAAGCCCTGTGAGTCTCGTAAAATCACCTGTGGGTGATGCCCTGCTCTTTGTCCAGTAAGGGTGAGGAGCTGAGGAACCCGCCCCTGGGGGACGGGTGGGGAACGTGGCTTGGGGTGGAGCCCAAGCCGAATATAGAGTTTGAATCCCTGACCCATGTGCTTGTGCAGTGGGTTGGCCTGAGTGCAGGGGTCTGCGAGTCGCATTGGTGACTATGAAAGCCAAATGTTGGAGCAACTACAGACAGAAATCCTGAGGGTTGGCGATTACCCCCAACAGTATGGAATTGCCAATCCCAGAGCTAGTGCATCCTGAGGGTGGATGCTGTGTGTGGCTTGTGGCCGAGACTACAGCCAGAAAAGGCCAGGAAGCCTGACGGCTCCTGGCGTGTTGCAATAGATGCCTTGAGTGATTCCCCTCCCTCATATGAGCAGTGCCTTCGGCAGCAGATCTGGTGGCTCATCTGCTGGTACCAATAATTGTCTTTTGCTACTAGGTTGGGGCCCTGCCTGGACTTATTTGTATTGTATTTTTGTTGTTGTTGTTATAGTGT